CATTGCTATAATGTTCTTCTGGCATTGTGAAATACATTGGTAATCATTTGGTAAGTTAGATTCTTGTACATTCAGAGGGCTGATTCAAAGGACAAATTTCTCTCCAAGCTAAATGAAAATGGATTTATCTTAGTATCGCAATCATTCTGTCTATCCAAAGTAGAAATAATATTTTATTTATAAAATTATAGCAACTACTCAACTAGACTACTATAACTACTCAATCAGAACCATTGACCTTAAGACCACACATTAAATATTGCAACCAATCGCATGACAGTGTTTACCAAACGCAAACAAAGCACAATGGGGGCAAAAAACCTCTGTGTTACAGTTTTGACAAGTTTTGACTAGAGGCCTGCACACTGCAGCCATCAAAACCCAACGCCCCCAACCAACCAATTGCCTGTTAGAACAAGCAATTTAATTTTTGAACTAACTATACTGCCAGCTTAACTGTAGCATTTATGCTGGTTGTATTTTGGAAAAGCGAAAGCAATTAAACTAATTCTAATACGTCCAAGCGAGTAAAGGTAGAGTGGAGGTCAACAACCACATAAAAAGCCCAGAGTCTGTAATGAGATTAACTACTGAATCCTTCCATGCACAGCTCTGCTGTCCAGAGAATATGAATCAGTGTGTTGCTGTTACTGCTGTTACTGCACTCTTTTTTTTGCTTTAGAAATTGGCAGAAAGTCAAGAAACTATGGCACAATTTGTTCTTTTCTTTCATAGTTTCTTTCACTATCTTTACATAAAGCAGCAGCAACCAGGCTGCTGTTCTTGCTGCAGGGCAGGCGGCCACGGATCTTACCCCATCCGTTTGTCTATGTGCGTGTGTGTGTGCATTTGTGTCTTGTGTGCCTAAAGTGGGGTCCTTGCCTAGTCTAGTTTGTCATTCTAATACTTGGCAGTAAACCCAAAAATATAAAGAGGGTTTATCGGATATTTTCATGTTAGATTCACTATTGAATCTTGCATAAAGCCCCATAAAATAAACTCTTGGTCAGCACATGTTTTGTAGAAGGGGGCATGCTGTTGGAGGAAACTTTTATCACAAACATATGTCAAAGTGACAATATTCAAGGTTTAAAAAGACTCCCGTGACAGAAACCATGAATGCATTTTAGATGTTACCACTTGACTAATTACCATATGTTTTAAATACCTCTTCGTGCCATCAGTATCGGAGTACAGTGTTAAAGACAGGCATACAGAGTCCACACAGACAAAAAATCAATTTGTTCAGAGAACTGCACAAAAGCACCAGTTGCTCAGCAGAGAGAGGCCCCTACTTGAAGAGGACAGGCCATGATGCATGTGTCTCTGCCTGCAGTCCCTCCTGTGGCGCTGCAGTGGGTTTTCATTGTTTATCTCTGGCTAGCTTGTAAGAGGGGAACTAATTAAGAGCTGCCTGCAGGTGACCCATGCAGGCTTTTACAGGTCTCAGAGAAGAGAAGGGGGAGGGCTGAGAACCTGGCCACACCCAGCAGGAGGATGGGGTAACAGAGAAAGGAACTAGGACAGTTCTTTTCTCTTTTGGGTATCTTTTGGGTACATGGACATGTAGGGAGATACTGCAGTTATATATAGAGAGGAAAAAAGGGTTTTACAGCAGAGAGCAGGCAGAGAGAGAGAGATAGGACGCAATCATTGCAATCAGCTAAACAAGTCCTTCCTCTGTTTGGGGCCTAAAAAGTGTACTTGGTAACACTTACCCAATCCCCATGAGGGTAAATGTCATCTGCTTTGGGGTGTCTTTAGGATTAGCAGCCCTGCTGGGTTTGTTATGATTTCATTCAACAGTTAATCAGTTAATCTCAGAAATCTACATCCTCAAAGTGTACTGCTGTACACACATACTGTATCATATCAAACAAAATCAAGCCTCATTTACACAGGGTCAAGTAAACAAATAGTGAAGGGATGTGTTTACAGTAAAAAGGGAAGAACTATGTTGTGGAACAAGTTCACTGTATATGCTTTTAGTTTTTTTCAATATGAGATACTTAAAAAAACAGCTGGTATTAAACAAACAATAATAGCAAAAATATATATATAGAGAGAGGGGGAAAGTGTGCTCGTGTGTTTGCGTTTGTGTAAAGTATGTGTGTGTATGTGTAAAAGAGCAAAATACATCATTGCGTGCGGACGATGCCCTGCACCACTTCCTCCTCAGAAGCCCAGAGATGTCACAGCCAGCTGTAGCGATGTTGACACACACAAACGCTCATTTTAGTGTAATTCTGCTTCCACAAAACCAAACAAACATGTTCCAGTCAATGCTGTCACAGAGAAATAAAAGTGATGTACCAAAATGTAGAATAAAGGCTTTTTGAACAAGCACCAAACTATAGTAAGGAAAGCGCCATGTCAAACCTACATTATGGCTGGAAGGTGTGGAGAAACTCCACTATCTTGATATAAAACAGCAGAAAACTGATACAGTATGTGTGCATGCCTCAGGCAGTATGGTTGATGTGGTAGCTGTCTGCAGAAATCCAGATAAGGATGCCAAATGCCAGTTCTGTCCTTGATGGCGTGACACCAGGGGCAAAACAAACCAGCTGTTATGGGAATGTGCCCAACGGCCCAAATCTGAGCTTGGCTGTTACAGCTTAGTTACCGGCACAGCGGCTCTGCAACTGATACAAATAGACACTGTAGCTGGATGACTTGCTCTCACACACTCAGGATTTTACACCCAGTGGTCCCACACGCAGATGCACACGCAAATCGTCAGGCACACACACACACACACACACATACACATAAAAAGGTAATTAAAACAAAAAACATTTACACCTATCCAGGCCATGAGATGCCGCATGCTGAATGTTCCTTGCCAGATGACATTTTAAAAAAGAATGTAATTTTCAAGAATTTCAAGATAATGTCATCTTTTTAAGGGACATTTATTATTCATTAACTGTCAGGAAATCTAAATAAAATATAAAACTGTATAGCTGACTGTAACAAAGGTTGTATTAACAATACTGATACTAGGAATGTCATGAACAAACAGGCCTCTTAAACAACAGGCTAAGGGCTCTTTTATAGCATATTGTACCAGCATGTTGCCTGCATACTGTAAGAGAGTAACGCCATCGTCTTTTAGAAGAACAAGGGCTGAATTACTAAATATGACATTTTCTTTGAATATTCTTTTAAAACAAGCTGACACCTGAACATGTTTCACAGAGTTTTCAATGCCACTTTAGGAGCACTTTGGGTTTCAATGTCGCCACTTCGACAGCTATCTGTATGGTAGCCGGTGTGGAGATTCAATCTATCCCCTTGCAGTTGTGCAACAGCTTCTCAAACCTTCATGGTTCACTCCCACATGTTTTGACCAGCAGATAAGATCAGGGTGGATGGAATGATAGAGAGGTGGAGAAAAAAGAGAAGAAGAATAGAGGGAGAGCCAGTGCAGTACCCTGTGGAATTCAAGTGCTGTGTGGAGAAAGCATTCTGGACCAATGCCACAAACAGGCAGGTCAAAAGACAGCAAGAGAGAGGAAATGTGCTGCTGCTCATGTCTCGTTTTACAATTTGTTTTGTTAATGTTTTTACTTGAACGAAAGTATTGGATTATCCTCAGTGCTGAACAGCATTTTATCATCATTTAGATATTTTGAACTAAAACTGAAATTCGTCCTACATGGTAATGAATCTGTACAAAAGGTGCACAAAAAGTTTTGTTTTCTAGAGGGGACAAAAATGAGAATCCAGAATAAATAAGGAAAGCCATGAATGACTGTAAATAAAAGGTTTTGATCAAAACAACATGTATGGGGAAACTAACTCTCTTTGACCCAAATTAATTCAAATATGGCCACTTCACACATTCTTTTTCATTAGGAATATACAGTATGTACATATACACACACACACTACAACCATATACTAATGACTAAATGCAATATAAATCCCACAGAACTGCAACATGCAGTTCAACATGTCACAAGACAGCACCCAAACTGCTTCTTGAGGCCTTCAGTGCACATGAGCTGTCAAAAGGTTTTGTAGCTCACTGTGGTGGATGTACACTACAGATTAACCACATCTATTATTAACAAAAGGGAGCAACCACATAGACACAACATCAACTACATTGCTGCCCCTGTGTAGCCCACAGTCTATTGAAACCTTTAACCTTCTGTATTTATTCCTATAAGATTTGGTATCACCTGTCTTCTCAGTATGTAATCTAATCTCTATGCAATGGCTCTTCATGACTCAGCCCCAGTGGGAAAGGCACCCTAGCAGTCTCCCACTACTGATATTAAGCCAAACAATAGTGTTGACATGCCCAAAGTCTTTCCAATTTGCTTCGATGTGAACACGTCTAGTAACTGTTGTTAGTGTTAACTGCTGAAAACACAATGTGGGAATCCTCGTCTGTTGATACTGCTGAAAACACAGGAGTGAGTAGAGAGCTGATGGGGAATAAATTGTTTTTGTAACAGTCATTAGCATGCTCTGCTACAGCACTCTAACACAGGAAGCCAATCTAATTACATTTTGACTTACATTAATGAAACTCATTTGAATGAGCATGTCAGCAGGAAGAAGAAACACCATCAAAACGCATTCGCAATTCACACAGGAACCAACAGCAGTAAATTATTAATCCTATGAGGGCATGTGGCGACAAGCCATCCGGTACCTTAACATGTCCAACAACATATTGAGAGGGATTTCTTTGACATTTCCCTCAAGACTAAAGTGATAATCCCCTTTATAACTCTCTGTACCTGATATGGCCCTGGCCTTCGAGAGTCTCTTTAACCCTCAAGAGAGTTCAACAAAACGTCATTTAGAGAGCAGCTAAAGGGTCTCTCTGGTCTGACAAAAGGCCTTTAGGTACTACAATGAGTGGGGAAATCAGTATTATATGTAGGCTATGAAAGAATGGAGGTCAGTGCAGGGTGATAGATCTGAGAGAGATGGGGGCTCCAGAGCAGAGCAGAGCAGAAGGGACATTTTCTGGGACTTACTGAGCTTTGTTAGTCACCACAGGCAGGGGAATGTCCTCACTCATGTAGTCAAGTTCATCGGTTAAGCTGTTGGCACGGGAGATGTCGATAGAGCTGTTGTTATCATGATTCCTCTTTACTGAAAAGAACAGAGATAACAGATATAGAATACTTCCAGTGCACTCATATTGTGCTGGTAAACTGTATACAAATTTAAATCTGCCCTAAATTATACTGAGGATGGGCTTTATTCTTAAGTTAATTAATTTTGATTCGAAAGAGAAAAATGTGATAACTGCAGTGCATTGCTCTGAAACTACAAGATACGTAATATGAGTTATATAATAATGCACATAGTTTGGCTTCTCTCAGGAACTATTCTACAGCAAAATAAGCCGAAAAGATCAGATATATTTAATTGTGTAACATAAAAGCAGAAACAAAGAAACAAAAAGATACCTGGAGAGCCAGGGCAGCTCAGAGTGAAAGACGACCAAGAATGGTGAGGAGGGCCTGATGCCATGCGAAAATAATGAAAATAGGACAAGAGAAAGAAAGGAGAAGAAGAAAAAAGAGAAGAAAGTTTCAACAAAAACTGCTTATATGAGTGACTTTATTTATTGCTCAACCATTTGGTATGCAACAGAAGTGCTATATCTCTGAATTAACATGGAGGTTTTCAAAAGGGCGAAACTACTATATATGAGAAGAAATTAAGTTCTGCTGGGAAAAAGTATTTGAGTTATAGATTCTTTTTAACAATTTATATGAGCTCCAGTTTAACAATGCAGCTGGCAACACAACTGCTAAGAACAACGTGTGTAGCGATCTCTTGACCTGCAGTCAGACTGTCAGCGTCTGAGTTTGACAGGTCTCTCCTCTAAACCACCAGGCTTCCATTGTGATAAAGAATGGAGGCAAATCTGTGTCCAAGGACAGAATGGCCATTCCAATTCAAGCAAAATCCATTTACCCTCTCTTGTACTCCATCATCAAGTTTGTTTAACATTGTCCAATCAGGAAGCGGCAGAGAGAGAGAGAGAGAGAGAGAGAGAGAGAGACAGGGAAGGAGAGAAAGCGAGAAAAAGAGAGAGAAGGGGGGTAACCAGAGCTAATAAGAGCCACGTTTAGCCTCAACTTCAGCTCACAGGAGGAGACGTGAACTGGCTTATTGGCTATGCAAACAAGATAAGGGTTTATTAACAACATGTAGTTTATCTGGCCCATCAGTGCAAATGTGTTTGGTTGGGAGAGTATGGGCCAAGGTCAGTAGTGGGAGAAAGAAAGAATAAATGCAGAGGAAAAAAAGGAAAGTTAGATGGTACAGAGAGAGAGAGATTCTCACAGACAGGGAGGTGAGTGGGGCCAGACAGATAAGTGGAGCGATAAGCCGGACACTGACCAAATCAAACAATGACCAGTTTATTTCTGACCACTGGAGCTCCACAATGGTCGCTTATCAACTCCTCCCTCCCTCCCTCTCTTTAGTGTCCCAGTCTAGGTCCCCACGATTCCGTAGGCCCCTGCCCATTCCTAGCCAGGCCAGCCTTGTTCCTCACCGTAGTGTTGGCAGGGCACCCAGTAAAGAAAACAGGCCAGGTCAACCCAGAACCAGCGTCTGAGACTCTCTGCTTGGCTCTGGTTTGGTCCAGTTGGGGACAAAGGCCCAGCCAGCCAGCAAGTCTAATTAAAATACTGTCTGAGCCACATTAAAGGCATGGTAGCTAATGATTAACACAGAGAAGTTTTAAATAGGAGAAAAAAGAGTACTTAACCAGTGGAAGGGGGGCTACTGCACTGATCACATATACACTACATATTCACCCTTTGTGTTTGTAGTTTTGACGAACAATAACAGGCAAGTAAAAGGGTGTACATTGTTTCACTCATGTGGATTAGCTGTGCATACAGCGTATGCCTTAAAATACAAGATTATGGAATGGAAACTTCAGAGAGGTACCATGAGACCAGAGTTCACTGTAATATTTGTTGACATCATCTTTATAACAAAATGCCATATTCCAATCCCTGGAATTTCCATTTAGTTCACCTCAGGTGTGATGGAGGAGTTAGAAAGACTCACCTTTTTGTCTGAACATTCTGTTGATTCCTGCGAAGAAAGGCGGAAATATTATTAATATGACTGTGAAATGGCTGCAAAGCTGAAATAAAACTAACTAACTAATGTACCAACAATCTGCAACACACCATTTTTGTTGCACAACAATTTCCTCCTTTATTGGATACAGATAAAGATTGCAAATTCTTTTTTTAAAGAATGCAGTAATTGTGGCACTTCACTTGAAAGTATTTACTGTATTTAAAGCAGTTATAATATAAAATTTTGCAATAACAATGCATCAACTGACAATGTGAAAGCGATGTGACTCTATGAGGGGTTGCCCGTAATGAGGAACCTGCAGAAATCTACATCATCTTAATCTACAGCTCCCCTGAGTTTTACAGAGCTTTATAGTGAGTTTCAGTTTATTGTTTATTTGTCCAGTCTGCAATGTTACTTCACTCTCACTGCTCTCAAAGTGTTTTTTTCACATTAACAGCTAAAGAGCCAAATATTTCCATCAGGAGTTGGTAGAGGAAAAAAGAGAGTGAATATTGGACTTACATTTGCCAGGTGGTGAACCCATACTGCTGCTACTGCTGCATGTATAAATACTACTACAACTATTTGCTAAGAAATTTACCATATTAACTTAAAAGGTGATGATATGTCAATGTTGTGTTCAGAACTTGTTTCGCTGCCCTCAAGTGACCAAAAAAAGTTATTGTATGTTTAAAGAGAAAGAAAAAATACTATACACAACTGTAAAAAGCATCCAAGAAAGTGTGGGAAAGGCGGGAAGCACATATGACATTGTGCAGCCATCCCTATTTTCTTTTAATACAACATAGTTGGTTTACAGTTGCACGAACAACCAAACTGCATTACCATGCAACTTATATTAGCTGACTCATAAAACCCAACAGCAAAATCTAAATTAAACCAGTTTGCTATTTAGAACATAAAACTTCATTAAACAATGTTAAAAAACATCTGCAACTCTAGATATTTTTATTTTTACAGAATCCAGCAGTTTAATACCAAGTTGAAACAGTGATGGTTAAAACAATAAATAAAGAGTAACAGCCCTGGGGTAGACAGTTGACATAGCAGATGCCCGTTTTATTGGTTGATCTGAAGCAGAAATCATACAGTCACATGCTGTTTCAACCCCACACATTATCATTAGTGACAGCAGGCGGCAGGCTTTGAATTCATTACACAGTTTTATGCCATCTACAGCATGGTCACTTCTTTTTCCCACTTATTTCCACATGCACTTAAGACACATGTTCTCCTTCATTATCTAAGATTCACCCAGTTAAGCAGGAAGCTAAAAAGCTATTCCCCTCATAAGTGGTTGTTCTTCTAGTGATGGTCTGCCTTTATGTCAAGTTTATGTCACTCCAGTTTCTTTTATGATTGCACGCTTTGACAGGAAAAACTCAAGTGCATTTATTAACTTGGAGTCTGGGTCAATTCATTTTGCAGGCTTGTCTTTTAACACAGGAAGTTAAACCACCACCCCTTTAACCAACCAGCCATCAATCATATATATTGTGTGTATAGATCTGCATTAAAAAAACACAAGTTTCCATTGTTATGTACGAGTTCTGGCAACAATTAGGAATGATGCTATAATTATCTGGATACAGAATGAGCTGAAATCAACATCATTTCAAGCTTTTTTCAGGCTGACGACAAGAAGAAAACACAACTTGGCTTTGGCATGACTGCAGCATTATTGGTAAACTTCAACCGGTATAACAAGAAATTCCCATTTGTAACCTTGACAAGCCCATATTTTAAACTTTTTTCCACTTAAGCCCAGTGTGAGTGTCTGTGGACAGCAAAGGGGACAAGTGAAGCAGTAAAGAGCTTGTAACCATGACCTCTAATCACCACTGAGACTGTAATGACTTCCATCTGGCCTACTGAAGACACCTGGCAGCCATCTTGGATCTAAGGGGATCAGGATAGGGCCTCTGTTTATTGTGTGAACTCCTCCCATAATGTGTAATGGTCCCCACTGTTTGTATAAACTGAGAGAACCAAATGTAATCTTTAGCAGAAGATTAGCTCCACATTCAAACAGGCTGTCTATTCTATAATTATTTTGTCCTTCAAGTTATAATATTTACCATGTTAACATTCTTAGTTTATTGTGTTTGCAGATTCAAATTTCCAAATTAGAAACAAAGAAACAGTAGAGTTGATGGGAATATAATTTGTTCTGCAGGTATTTGAACAAATGGAAATTTTGACCCAATTATGACACTAAATGAAAATTTAAGGGATCACCAAAGATATGGCAATGCACCATGAGGGGGACAAGAATGTCTGTACCATATTTAGTGGCATTAATTAAGTCATTTCACAAAATTAATGAATTCCAACCTCATGGTGGCGGTAGAGGAATCAGCAAAGTTATTCATCATCTATGGACCAGGGATGTCTTTACAAAATTCCATGGCAATCCATCAAACAATTGCTGAGACATCTCAGGTCGGACAAAAGAGGTAGACAAACAACGCGACAGGCCGGCATAGACTTCCCTGGGGCCTTGCCTCTAGCGTGGCTGAAAACACGAAACTTTATTTCTCACTCGTATATAGCACGCTTCAGAGAGGTTGGTCTATAAAGTATACATAATAATCAGTCTTTTGGTCGTTGCCAGATTTGCTCACAACGTGTCATATCTAACCAATAGCTCCACAAAGAATGAACCAATGAGATGAGTAAGTTATTACGATTTAGCATGTTCTCTTGCAATGGCAGAGTAACAGCAGTGAGCACCAAACAGAGTATAGAGAGAAAGTACTCCAAGTCTGAACACCATATTTAGCCACTGATTTCCACCAGATATAGGTGACAATGTAAAATGTTAGTTTTCTAGTTTAAAGCTTTGTGTGACTCTACTAGCCTAAATGTGATAAAATAATTATTAGGGGGGTATTTATACATATCTACAGTATTTATTTCACACATATCAAACTAAGGATGACAAAACACTGGCCAACACAAAAGTACAAGCTGACAGCAAATTTATCTACAGCAAGTGCCATTAAAAGTGCCATTCATCATTTGTGGCCATTTAATGCTCTGAATGCAAAACACATCTAACCTTTACTGAAATAATTGATTTTCAAGGCCTTTAAGGCATCATGATATGCATTTCACAGCACTCAACACACATTATTTCATCAAACAAAGTTCTATTATTTCATTACTGCAGTAATTCA